CAACACTGACGGATAAATGTTTTAAATTTCTCCTTTAATAAAACACATATTCAAAAAGGCATTTCAATCAAGTTTTGTATTGGAATTTGTGTTATTCTAAATTTTGGCACTAAGATTTTTATTTTTTTTTTATTTTTTTATTGCAAATGTACATTCCAAATATCTGTTATTGGTCTCCTTGCTTTCATATAATTAATGTCGGTGTCGGCTATGAAAAAAAAAACGTGTTGTTCGACCCCTAACGAGTGGTGTCAACTTTCCTTAGCTAATATTTTTTTTCTCTCCTAGATGATGAGAAATCAGACAATGATGACAACAGTCAGGAGAGCCCTGCAGAGAATGGTGAATAAACATGCAGAGATCCTGACTGAACTACATTGTGAACTGCTTTTATGATTTGATTTTGTCTAAAAATACTTTTTTGTATGTATTTTTAAATAAAGCTGACTTGTCTGAATCTGTTTTTTAGTTCATTTATAAAAATGGGGAATTTGTAGATGTAAGTGTGTCCATATAACTCAACATTCTGGGAACCCCACCCCATTAATCAAAATAATCAAGGTTTCCAGACTGACAAAAGATTTTAATGGAAACACTGCGATAGTGTGGCAGACCACATTCGTTTAAAGATCACCTGGAGAAAGAGATAAATTCAAGCACTTATTTTCACAAGATGAAAACAATGTCATCTGTAGTTAATTTTCATATTACCAAAAGATTACATCACAGTGTTTGTTCTGCTGTCAAAGCTGGGAGTTTGTTTTTGAAACCATTTTCTATATAAAAGCACAAGGGGGAGCTACAAACCACAGTTCTCCATTAAAAATCATCTCAGTCGTGAGTTTGATGCAGAGTTTACCACATTAACCAGGAGTCTGGTAGCGGCTGAAGTGCTTGGCAGCTACAACAAAATAAATTGAAAATGTGCGATTTAATGTATTTTAGTTAGCTTATTAGTATCTTTTCTTGTATTTGTAGAAACTCTCAGCCAAAGTGAAGCAGAACGGTTCAGTTGATCAGTCTGGAAGTTTGTTCATGCTGAGAATTCTCTTTTAGAAATATATAATAGATAGTTAAATTGGGCAGTCTTGTGTCTAAAATCATCACAGATTCATCAAATTAGGCAAAACTATTCTTTATTTAAACAAATATATAGAGTTCTTTATTTTAGAATCCTTTTTAGTTCCTTCTATATATTTTATGTGCAAAAAAACCCCAAACTGGCTTTTTTTTTTTTTTTCATGAAAACAGAAAATTTATTGCAGTACATTAAAAAGATCTCCCTTTATTGACACGAAGCAAATCTGTCCATTCTGAAGTGGATACATTAAAAAAATACAAATAATACAGCATAGTATAGAGTAACAATACTATAACTACAATGATACTGTATTTGACCGATGAAAGATGCATAGCAGACTCACGCTGCAAGCCCTTGGCCTCTAAAACTCCACCAGGTATGCTCGGGCCCGCATGAGGCGTTTGAGGCGGCTCTTCAAAGCCGTCCTCTTGCTGCCGATGTCAAAATCCTCCTTCAGCAAGAAATCCAAATTGTCCTTGTTCTGAATCATCTGCATCATCTCCCTATGTAGCTGGATGGCTGACTCCTGCAGCATCTGGTAGCGGATCACCAGCGGGATTTGGTCAGCCAGACGCATGCCAGCAATCTGCATCAGAAAGTTAAAAAAAAAAAGTTTGACAAAGTTTGAAAAACTTCTGCTCTGTCTAAACCAAATTGATTTTGTTCATAAATCTGCCCTCTAAAATAGGACTTACTTGGTAGTATGATTTAAGGTGCATCATCAGCTGCTCAAGTGTTGCATGGTTGTCCATGATAATGCTTCGTTCTCTAACATGTTTACTTTTTTGTTTGAGTTCCTGCTCATCCTCCTCTTTCTTGCGCTCGTTCAGACTGCTGCTGTAGGTCCTGTCCTGAGAGTAAACAAGCAGCTCCATCTTGAACTGAGTTCTCAGCATGGATTCAGCAACAGACTCTTTTTCTTTCTTGATGGCTTCAATCTTCGCCTAGAAAAAATTCTAGTCAGTTTGAATATTGCCAAAAAGAGGCAAATTACATTTAGACATGTCATATACAGAGAATGACTGAAACGGTATAAGTGCCAGCAGCTTAACTAATAGAAGATGGTTACCCTGGCTGTCTTCACGAGGTTAGGAAATCCAGTGAAGCTGCTGAGGGCCAGCTGTAAGAACACCTTTTTAACAGCATCTGGGGAAACACAAATACATGGTGCAACTACTTGCCTTCCACTGAGCACTTCATTAGTGGTTATACTGGAAAAAGCTACATACTTGTTTATTATTCTTCAGGCTGTGCATTCACTATGAACTAAAGTACTGGATACTACAGAGTCCCAGATCTCATCTCTCACCTGAGAAGGTTTGGTGACTGTGCAGGTGAAAAAGATGCACAAGGGTCGCAGAAAGTAAAAATCTGACAGAGGCATCACATGCAGTTGTTTTGACAGAAGTCTTGTAGATTACCAGAAAATTGTTTTCAGTGTGAAGGGGGGAAAAAAAAAACATTTTAACTGCTCTGCTGTATATTGGCTTATGTTTCTTAAATCTCATAAAAAAGAAAGGCCAAGATGCTGCCTGCAAAAACATACGAAAAGAAGCAGGTAGAGATGTAGAACAAAGTTTTATGAAATGATGAAACTCAAGTTCAACCAGGTGAATGCAGAAGAACATGGAATCATTCTGTATGCTCAAGGTCAGTTAAATGCTTGAAAGGGTTCCTTCACCTCAGCTCTGAGTCTAACTCCACCCACTGCATAATTATGAAAAACACTCAGAAGTGGGCAAGAGACAAATTGGGGTGGTGGCTGAGGGCAGAGGTGTATGTGTGAAGCAGGAGTTCCTCAGGGACATCCTCAGACCACAGAAAGATAGAAAGCAACACAGCGGAGAGGCCACAAAGGGGCCTTTTGAGGTAAAGAATCCCCTCAAGTGGTAATTAGTGTGGTGGAGAACCAAGGTGGTCCCACACTAAGTCAATTTGAGCTATAGCCCAAAGTGAGATGTCTTGGAGCCAAGGCAATGCAAGTCCAGGAGAGGATGGAGTCAGTCTCAGAGTGGTTATGTTAGCTGGTGAGACGGTAGAAAGCTCAAAGGCTCTGAAGGGAAATAATGCAGCCTTCAAAAAGACAAATCTTAATCACTGCACCTCAAGTGAAAAATCCCAAGTAGAAAGTTAGCAAGAAATGTTGTGAACTCCTCTGATCGCTGAGTCTCGATCAGCATATATTTAAAAATAAAGTTTGGGCGCCGCTATAGCTCACCTGGTTGAGCTGGTGTCCCATGTACAGGGCTACAGTCCTGTTGTGGAGGTCATGAGTTCGGCTCCCACTCATGGCCCTTTCCCACATGTCCTCCCCCTACTCTTCTCCCCCACTTTCCTGTCTCTCTCTCACTGCTCTGTCAAAAATAAAGGCACAAAGGCCAAACATTTTTTTAAAATAAACAAGGTTTCACTCCAGTGCAGGGACTGGGGATGTGGTGGTGGGCCACCTACCGCTGATTAGAGGGCACGTATACGTAGATACGTCCCAAACTGTTTGAGTCTATGCCAGCACTGGCCTTGCAGGGGTGAATTAAAATGGCCCATTGAGCCACTTTAAGCTCATGAAAAGCCATTTTTAAAATACATTTTACAAGAAACCTTAACATTAACCGCAGCACTGACGAGTTTCATCTGAGTACAGTCACATGATTTAGTTTGCGACTCAAAAACACGTACAGTACTTCTTTAACCACAAAGCCTGAAGGACAAAAAGTGTCTGACCATCCCACACGTACAGCCTGGACTATAATAAAATCATATACCTCCTACGTCTCGGAGTTTCTTGACAGCTGGTTCTTCCAGCTGCTTGATCTGCTCCTTGACCATGACCTCAAAGGTCTTGTAGTTGATGAAGCCTGGTAGCTCTCTGCCACGGTACCGCTCTTCATATTCCTCCACCTCTCTTTCAATTTTCTTGTTAACTGCAACACACAAAGGCATATGTCAGAGTTATGCTCGTGGACAGATCTACACCAAATAAAAATAATATACTCACAGTTTGCCCCTGAGCGGTCCACGTGGGCTTTCCATTGTCCAAACTGTTTCCTCAGCACGGAAAAGACGTTGAGCTTCTCTCCGCATTTGAGTTCCTCTCCTATAGTCAGACTGATGGCATCCTGAGTGAACGCAGTCACTTTCTGCAGCACATTACAGATATTTTAAGTCTATTAAAAAGGTATGTATAGGCAAGCAAAAGCAGGCGGGTAAATGTGAGGTAGCAGGAGCTCACGTCAATGACGAAGATGAGTCTCTCAGCTGGATCAGACGGGGGTCCATTGCCATATCTGTCCAGCTCTGCCTGAGTCTGTGCCAGTTTCTCCTCTATCTGCTCTTCCAGTCTTGGCAGGGATCTCTGTAAATCACACAGCAAGGGTCAAATATTTGACAACAAACCATTAGTTTATACCAAAATCGTTCAAGTGAAGCAATAAGAAGAATTTACCTCAATGTGATGCACCAGCTCAAGTGTGAGTTTCTCAGCCAGCATAGGGACAGTGGCGTGGCCTTCATTGTAAAGAGTGCTACGGCAAGAACAAAAAACTGCTAAGTAGAAGCTACACAACCTATCATGGAGTTCATCGAACACAGTGCAGTGTTTATACAATTACCTGAGCAGCATTAACTTACCTGAAATATGCATGATCTTCGAAGAAAGCTTTCTCTTTTTCAGTTGCTTCGGTAAGAGACACGTTCTGTGAGATCTCCATCTGACCCCTGCACTTGACGATCATGTAGCCCTTCGTCAGGTGGATGACTTCATTATGGACAATTTCAACCACTGTCCCCTCTGTGCCTTTGTCCACCAGGTCAGGTTTGGTCAAGATACCTGTCAGAGAGAGACGGAGAGAGAATGGACTACCTGCGAGCTGAGCAACTAACCTCAGAGACAGGTGGTCCCCTTACAAATTCACATGTATTTACCCAGAGTCCTCTCTCCATCAGGATCCACCTGCTGCGCCATCTTCAAAGCCTCTGTGGTCGCGATGTCCACGTTGCACGGGACGACCACCAAGCTGATGGTCTCTTGCCTTGTGATGAACTTCTCAATCAGTCTCTTGATCTGAAATGACAAATTCACACTGTGTAAATTATAAGCTACATGAAAGTAAAGTGTCCAGATGTCTTTCTTGCGATATTGCCCGTGGATCTTTCTAAGGGAAGGGCCAATATGGAAAAATATTCATAAGACACGTAACATAAGGCCTACATTTTTGGAGATTACAAATCTCACTGTCGACACTTTTCCTTGGGAAAATGTTCTGTCTTAGAAATTGTCCCAGAAGCATTGTGGAATAGCACACCTGTTCACCAATATTCTCCGGTTGTCCCTTTACGGCCACTCTGGCGATGCCCGGCAGGTCAATGAGCGTCAGGTCTGGAACATCCGGGGAGGCGATCTCCAGACTGATGAGGTCATTGCTGATCCCCACTCCGACCCCGGCCATTTCATCCTGAGCTGAAGAGACATGACAAGATATTGCAAATGATGAAAGTGCTCAGCAATGAAACTTCAAATGTCCACTATCTTCCTCAATACTTGCCTCTTATCAGTGACATTAAAGAATGATGTACTGTATTCTATACCTGCTCTTATCTTTTTCTCCACATCTGCAGGGTCTTCGATCATTTCCTCGTGGTCCTGGTAGCTAATCTTTCCAAACCACTCCTCTCCCTCTTTCCTTCTCTTCATCTTCAGTTCGAGAGGACATCTCGTCACAATGCCTGGATTAATGATGAGGGGGAAAAAAATCAAAGTGAGATCCAGTGTGCATGATAAAAGTATGAAAACAGTACGTTTTGTCATATAACACTGAAATAATGTGAATAAAACTTCATCATTATTACACCTTAGCAACATGTTCCAGATATCATAAAAGCACCTGAGAAGTGCAACGTTTCTGTAAAGTGGCTCTTTAGTTCACTTGCTGATTGTATAAGATCTTGGGCCTTTGTGGTAGAAAGCCAGCAGTCATGCTAACACTGTTGCAACACAGTTTTCATTGGCTGATAGTTCTCTCTTTAGTGCCTCCAGCAGCTTGGGCTAGAGAGAAAAATGGCTTCATACAATTGTGACATGAATCATTTGTCCTCTGACTTTTGCTTTTTTTCTTCATCTTCTGGTCAGAATTTGCGGCTTGATTGGAATGGTGTGCTGTGTCTTTTGTTAGCAACTTGTCATACGGTTTTTATGAAATTTACAAAACAACACATTAAAAATTCTAACTAAAATGAACGGGAAGTCCACCTGACAACTGCGAAAACCCAGCATTCTTTGGAACCTCGCAGCTCTGGCATACTTTACATTAGAAACTTTATTACAAGGATTTCAATGTTATTGCTCTAAATCCTTGTTGTTGCTGCTGTTGTTTTTTTATACAGTTTTTATGCAGTCACAGTTTAAATTTTATTAATTTCTTGAAAGATGTTGCATTTAACCTTGTCTTCTCAGAATTTCTCCTCTATATAACCATTTTTATGTCCTCTTCCCGCCCAGTGTGGCTCTCATTACCATAGGAGTTAAGCTTTTTTTTTTTTTTTTTTACCTCAGACACGAATTGTGCTGACCCCAAATGGGTGAAAATTAAACAACAGAGAGTCTCTCTAACCTGCCACCAAGTTTGCATGTTCTCCCCGTGCAGCGTGGGTTCTCTCCGGGTTCTCTGGCTTCCTCCCACACAGTCCAAAAACATGTTGAGGTTAACTGGTGATTCTAAATTGTCTGTAGGTGTGAATGTGAGTGTGCTTGGTTGTCTGTCTCTAAGTGTAGCCCTGTGATAGACTGGCGACCTGTCCAGGGTGTCTCCTGCCTTCGCCCCTAAGTCGGCTGGGATAGGGATAGGCTCCAGCCCGACCCTAGTGAGGATTAAGTGGTGTATAGATAATGGATGGATGTTCAAAACAAGATTGCTTTTCACAAGGTGGAAAAAGTTTTTCAATACAACTTAGAGTTTTTGAGTAGTCACCATTTGTTCAAGAAGCTAACCCTTAGTCTGCCCTTCTCACTTCCAGCAACCAGTGACTCAAAGGGAATTGGCTGATTCATACTGAACTACCCTTTCAAAGTAAAAGCTCAAAGATGTTACAAGCTACTGACCAGGGTTTGTAAACAAGCTGGCTTTTCAAAATAAAATCCACCTGTAAAAATTAGAACTTGAGTGTAATATAGCGGGACACACTAGCTGGCAAAACCTGAAAAGTTCTTCAGAAAGTTTCTAGTTCACATTATTGCCGTGTTTTGTGTACATCGAAACAGGAAAAAAACCATGACCGCTGATTAAAGAGAGACAGTCAGAAAAGGTGCCCCTCCCATTCTCACAATAACAAAAGCCATTTTCCATTTGGAACAAGTGTAAACACTATGGACTGCATGTTTTGCAGACAGAGGAGGAGGCAGGGGACAAGGATCTGAAGCAACACAGAATGCCTTTACTGCATCACATTCTGAATTTTTTTTTCTTTTACATAAATAATTTCCACCTAAACAGATGTAGAGAAAGTGCACAAAAATTCACCAGAATGCAGGAAATGTGTCACACAAATCCCCCTGCCACTCCCCCCCACCGCCTCCCTTAAGCGCTCTTAAAACGAGACCTACACATGTGGCCATACTGACCCCTTGTGATGGGGACACAGTATATTGGTACTGCAGCAAAAACTGTTTTCTACCTGTCCATTCTAACTCTACAGGCATGGGCAGGAATTACCTGGAACATAATTTCTGGGAGGGATCTGTTCATACAGCTCCAGCGTGAACTTTATGAAGCTATTTTTGTTCTTTTTTTAATGGCATTCCTGTTGCCTTGAGTTACTTTTAACCTGCAACCTGGCACAGTTTCCCAGTATACATCAGAGAATGCAGTTTATCCGGTAGCTGCTTAACAAGTCAGTGATTTGCATGTTAAGGAAGTTACTAATGATTTCAGTGTGTACTTTTCTAAAAGCTCTGTTTATCTTTATCTTTTCTTAACCCTATTCAGGACTTACATGTTGCCATAGATAGAAGGTCTTTCAGGATCCATTGGACCTCAAGAAAGCACATGTGCCAAATATTTGTTGGTATTCATTATAGACTTTTATACTATGTTAAATACATTTTCTGATAAGTGACATATATTTTTGCTCCGAATGCATGACAAATGTCCCTCTGTTTATATTTTAGAAAAAAAACAAAAACTTCAATAATAAAAAAAAAAACAATTCCTGTCACCTAAACCAAATGGCCTGGGGTCCAAAAGAATAACTATTTATGTCATAATAGTGCTGCAAACACTTTCTGGCAGGTTAAATTGGTCCTTTAAACCTTGTTAAACCGGTCTAAAGAAATGGATTGGTAATAACTGAGGACACATACTCTTGAATAAAACAGAGACATAAAAATAGCGGCATTAATGATGAATTCTTTATGACTTATCCATAAAAAAGCACCTCTAGCCTAAATCAAGCTGGGCGACACAAAGCGCATGCGCCAGCCTTCAGCTTTTGGTATTTTTATTTTTATTTATTTTTTTTGCACAACACCTGCATGAAAACGACTCTTCAGGTATTTGCTGAGGTATTTTAAGCGACAGAGAAAAGCAACGAAAGATTTTTTAAAAATAATTTACCGCTTCCTCTCGGCAGAGCCACCCCTGACAGCGCCTCCAGCACGGAGCTCTTCCCCGAGCTTTGGTCTCCAATCACGGCGATGGCAGGCAGCGCCAAGTCCTTCTCTACACCCAGAGAGCGGAGAGAGTCGATGAGGTCGATGCAGGGACGCACCTTCTCCTCGTACTGCTGGTTCAGAGTGTTCATGGTGTCTCCTGTGATGGGACAAAACCTTTTTTTTTTAATTTAAAAAAGTCAATGAGTGTCGTCTGTGACCAGCAGCAGTCTGCAGCCCGCACTGACTGAACTTGATGAAACGGATGCGAGTCGATCCCCGTAAAAGAAATGGAAACTTCAGCTGTAAGTTTCGTTTTCACGTCTTTCCTCATGCTCTGCTAGGGAGAAACGAAACTCAGCTGCCAATCGATACCTAGTAATGTAACATGACTTTGTTATTGTTGTTGTTGTTGTTGTTCTTTTGTTTGGGGGGTGGGTAACTGCAGTGATGTTGTTGAGTCTGAAGAAGACAGACAATAATACTTGAAGCTTCTGACATTGTGAATGAGGAATAACTGAGTATTATATAAGTATGTTAAATATAAGCCACTTTGAATGTAAATCACAATCAACAACAATCAACTCAGGATCATGAAAAAAACCCTCATTTGACCCCACATAACTTACTTAAAATTTGATTTTTCAACAACGGTTCCCTACCTTGAGCGGTTTTTTTTCACGGTTTCCCATGGGAGGTTAACTTCAACATTTTAAAACGTGTTATTACACACCTTTACAAACATACTGGTGAAGAAACTGTACGGTAAGGATCTAGTTGGCAGATATTCATATGTTTCTCTGACTATGTTGCACATATTTAGTCGTAGATTTCATAAATTGATAAAACTGACATTTGTTTCCCCTACACCAAGTTATCCACAATAACAATGTAAAATGTGGAAAGTATTGAGGAGTCTGAAGCTTATCCCATTCTCCACTGGCAGATCCTGTCATGGTCATTTCTCTCAATGGGTGTTCTGTTGGTTTAAATGTGGGCGTGTTTGCTTTGTTTCACAGTTGTGCTAAACGGTGAACCGTCACTCCCATCACAGATAATTGCGCAGTGGAGCAGGTTTTCTTTAAGCACCTTTATTTGTATTTGGCTGCACTGATTCTGCCGTTGATTCAGTCTCCCTGTCCCTGCTGCTGCGAAGAACCCCAAACACATGATGCTGCCGCCACCATGCTTTGTAGTGAAGACAGTATGAGCCAAATGATGAACAGTGTGTAGTGTTTGTAAGACACAGTGTTGAACTTGTGCCCAAATAGATTTGGACTCATCAGACAAGAGAAAATGCAGTTTGTCAAACTCTAAATTGGCTGTTATATGCCTTTTACTTCCGTCTCTGTTACCCTAAAGGCTCAAATGATGGAGTACTATTAAGACTGTCATTCTTTTCTGCAGACTCTCCCATATGTGCAGAGGACATCTGAAGCTCTGGTAAAGTGACCTTTAAGTTTCTGGTCACTTCCCTGACTAAGGCCCTTATTGCTCAGTTATTCAGTTTGGTTAGATAGTGAGTCCTTGTCAATTCAAGCTTCTTTCATTTGACAATTACGGAAGACACTGCTCCTGGGAACACTCAGAGCTTCAGAAATGTCCTGCCCTGATCGCTCCCTCAACACAGTTTTATCTTTATTTTTTATAATTCGTCACTATGGCTTATTGAGCATAGACTGATGGGGGAAATGATAATTTAATGAATGTCAAATTCAACCTACAACATTACAAAATGTCTGCACATCAGAAATACCTGCACATCAGAAGGGACAAGGAAGAGAGTCAAAGTCTTCTTTAGTTTCTGTTTTATTATATTTCAGGTAGTTATTTATTACAACTGAATGTGAATAGGTAGCCTGTTTCACACAACACAAAGAGCACACGTGCAAACCAAACCAAAGTTTCTGGAGTGCATGAGATAATACTTGTCTTGCACTAAACAACAACAAAAAAAATCAAATCAAATAACAAGAAAAAATAATAACGGGCTGTTTATTTGGAAAGCTTAACTGTTTTTTTGCTGCAGCAGCTATTTTTTTTTTATACCATAAGAGTTTCTCGTGCCCAGAAAAAGATTCTGATAAAACAGTTTGGGCTTTTTCAGTTAACTCTGCAAAGGTGAAAACATACAAAAACAACCAGATGATTTTGAGCTAAGTTATATTTTTCTCTGCATTCTGTCACTTTTTCAGTGCTGTGCTGTGCATAAGCAACATAAAACATAAGCTCCATTAGAGCCCACACATACAGTGCCATGCATAAGTAATGATGGGAAATATGAATTTATGTTCAGTTGTTTTAAAGCATGGGCAATGAAACATTAGCAATGTGTGAAAAAGTCAAGTGAGGAGCGAATGCTTACCTCATCTTCGGTTATATCATTTAGGTTTGTTTGCCATTAAAGATCAGCTGGTTGTGTTTGCTTTCAAAATGACAGTATTTGTATTTTCTCATACTGAGGAAAAGTCATACTAAAAAACACAACTGAGAACTGAGAGTATTGAATAAAAGTCTGGAAATATTTATGAAACATGTCATGAATTGCCACTCAATGTAATGTTTAAATGACCGTGATGCTGTAACAAGTTTGACTGTTGTAGTTGGTGCACAATACTTTAACCAAACAATCTAACTTTTGAAAAAGTTACACATCATGTTTTAAGCTTGGCAGTCCATTTGCATCTGCGTGGTGCTGAAGCTGAATATGTTCATGCTAAACTCAGTCAGCAGACTGCGAGCCTTTGACAGGCGCTGGCGGCGATTCTCAAGGTGGATTCTCTTTGCTTTTATGCCACAGTCCTCTTGAAGCAGGGACTCGATTTTCTCCTTGTCCTGAAGCATCTGCAGCATCTCCCTCTGCAGCTGGGTGGCAGACTCCTGCAAGATCTGGTAGCGGATCACCAGAGGGACCTGGTCGGCGAGACGTCGGCCAGCAATCTGTGGTTTGGAGACAAGAAAGTAGAAGTGTAATTCAAACCTTTATCTGTTTTCGATAAGAGATATCTGTGTATTTAATTTTGGATTTTACTAAACCAGAATTTTATTTTAGTGCACTTCATTTATTTATTTATTATTTACTTATTTCTATTTATTTACAGTAAACACTTTTGTGCCACCTTTTAAGGTCTTTATACAGGTTTCGCTGGCAATAAAACAGTAGAATATTTAAACTTAATCTAATAAGAAAATGTGTTTTGACACCACTTTTAAAAAGGGGGTGGGTGGGGGGAATGAAGAAAACAGTAACCCAAAACTGAAATAAGACTTGTAACTGTTCCACTGTCCTGGTGGAAAGTCAAAGTGGAAATTAAACATGACGTAGTGGTAAACGCAAAGTAATGTACACTCACATGGGAAATAAAGGTACAAACTGTGCCATTTTGACGTATTTGGAAAAGAAAACATTTCAAACAGTGCCTCCTCCTCCTTTAGCAGAAATAACTTCTTGTAGGCTTTTGAATAATTATCCAGCAGTTTGCTGAGATTTTTGACTGGCATGATTCCCATACAGGGAAAATTTGTACAATCTCTTTGTGATTACAAACACAGTTGAATATACCACCTTTATCCATAGTCACTGTTTCAAAAAGGATTAAGAATGTGTTTGATCAAATGTGTTTCAAAAATATTAAAATTTCCATGGGATATACTCATTTTTAAATGTTGTGTAGGTATAAATGTACCACCTTTAAATGACACTTACTTGAAAATAGGATTTAAGGTGGTTCATCATCTCTTTCAGGGAGGCCCCACTGTTGTTACTGTTGATATTTATGCATCCATTAAATAAAGATTTTTGCGTCACGTTATTCTGTTCTTCTGCTCTTTTTCGCTTGCCCAACTTCTTGCTGTAGGTGGTGTCCTGAGTGAAAACGATCATCTCCATCTTAAACTGAGTCCTCAGCATGGACTCTGCCACAGCTTCTTTCTCATTTATGCTGGCTTCAATCTTCATCTGAATCACGCACACACACACACAGACACAAAATGCCATTAAATATGCAACAGTCTTAGGAATCTGTATACAGAAGCAAATAACATAAAAGATGATACCTTAGCCATTTTGATGAGGTTAGGAAATCCAACCAAGCTCTGCTCTGCCAATTCAGACATCTCTTTCTTCACAATTTCTAAACAAAAATAATAAGTAAAATCTCAAATGAAATAATACCTGGAAGGTATACGATCACTGCCACATTATGATGAGACACACCTGACACTTCCTTGAGTTTCAGGATGGCAGGCTCTTCCAGCTGTTTGATATGGTCCTGGACGATGGTCTCAAAAGTCTTGTAGTTGATGAAGCCTGGTAGTTCTCTTCCGCGGTACTTTTGCTCATACTGACCCACCTGTCTCTCAATATTCCAGCTGACTGCCAAATGAACGCAATAAAAGTTTGTTTCCTATTTCTTCATTATATGAAACCGTTTTTTTCAACAACAACAAAAAATGTACTTTATGGAGCAGTTTACAAATTAGGTTACAAGATCAGCAACAGCAGATAATCAAAAGTGATGTAACGACCAAGATGTTAGCTCACTTACATGTTGTTCCAGAGTCCTCTGTTGTTTTATTCCATTCTGCAAATTGACATCTGAGTGTGTAGAAGGTATTGGACCTCATCCCACATTTTAGTTCCTCTCCTTTGGTAAGACTGATAGCATCCTGTGTAAATGCCATCACTCTCTAAGACATAAGGGGTCAAGATGAAAGCGCAGGACAAATTAGCTTTTCATTTAGATATACTTTTAGTCTGGGGAAGCAAAAGGGGCCGGCTAGTGAACTCACGTCAATGAGGAAGCCGAGTTTCTCTGTTGCGTCTGATGGGGGTTCTTTGCCGTATCTGGTCATTGTCGCCTGCGTCTGTTTCAGTTTCTTCTTTATTTGCTCTTCCAGTCGAGGCAGCGATTTCTACAAATCACAGACATGGGGTTAAGACATTAGCAGCTGGAGTGGGTAAAGTTATCTGCCTTTAAACCACTGGGGTGAAGCAGAGAGAAGTATTCACCTGGATGTGATGCACCAGTTCAAGGGTGAGTTTTTCTGCCAGTTTCGGGACAGTGGCGTGGCCTTCATCATAGAGAATCCTGCAGCACGAATAGAAAGTGAAATGGTCTGCAGCCTACTGCATCACAAAGACTTGCTTGCATAACTGCACAAAAAGATGAACTTACTGGAAATGTGCATGGTCTTTGAAGAAAGCTTTTTCTCTTTCCAATGCTTTAGGAAGAGACACCTTCTTTGAGATCTCCATCTGACCCCTGCACTTGACGATCATGTAGCCTTTCTTCAGGTGGATGGCTTCATTATGGACAATTTCAATCACTGTCTCCTCTGTGCCTTTGTCCACCAGGTCAGGTTTGGTCAAGATACCTGACAGAGAGAGAGAAAGTTGGATTTCCCACCCTGTAGGTGGATATTGACCACTACAGAGCTCCTATCAGAGAGCTCTGCATCAACAAATGATGTTCAGCTTCTTTATTCAGGAGAAAGGCCAGATTAACATGATTCCAGATCAGTTGTTTGCTGCATGGATAAATAATAGTGGTAGTTTCCTTAAATTTAAACATCCAGGCAGGGGAAATGAAAACTACCTCCCCTCAATCAGCAAACATGTATGGATAACTGATTTACTATATATATTTAAAGCCCACGAAGATGAGAAGAATTCACAAGACAGAGAGTGGACTAACTCAGGGAGCAACTTACTTAAGAACTTCAGCTCCAACAACCTAAACAATCATATTCCCAGTTTTTCCTGTTGTTTTTTTTTTTTTTCTTTTCTTATTTAAAACTGCATCTACACAGTTTGCAGATAATTTAACAAAGTAAGATAATTAGGTTTGTTTTGAATTAACATTTGAATTCAAATTCTATTACAAAAAACGTTTCAGTGTGTGACTGTGTGTGTGTGCACAGAGATAAATGAGTTGTGTATAAATGTAATATACAGTTATGATTAAGCATGTGTGGAATAATTTAGATCGTCACTGTATTATAAAGGCCATTGCAGGGCTCCACCCATTAATTAATATATGGTAAAATACCTCTTAAGGTCCATATTTAGGACATCCATCCATCCATCCATCATCTACACCACTTAATCCTCATTAGGGTCGCAGGGGGGCTGGAGCCTATCCCAGCTGACTTAAGGCGAAGGCAGGGGACACCTGGACAGGTCGCCAGTCTATCACAGGGCCACACTTAGAGACAGACAACCAAGCACACTCACATTCACACCTACGGACAATTTAGAATCACCAATTAACCTCAGCATGTTTTTGGACTGTGTGGGAGGAAGCCGGAGAACCCGGAGAGAACCCACGCTGCACGGGGAGAACATGCAAACTACACGCAGAAAGATTCCGGTGCCCCCACCGGGACACGAACCGGCGACCTTCTAGCTGTGAGGCAACAGTGCTAACCAACTGCTCCACCTTGCAGCCATTTAGGACATGACTAAAATAATAATAATAATGATTCCCGGTTTGTGTTTTGCTTGGATTGGACCCATGTTAGCCACTACTTCTTCCATCTGAAATCCTTCCATGTACTTGAATTGCCTACAAGATTGCATTGCACATTTCTTCCTACTTAACTTGTGGCATTTCTTTATTCATTTTAGTTTCCTGCCTCCCTTTAATCTGCAGTGTATTAGTGAAATTAATGCTTGAGAATATTTCGTAAAAATGACGCATCGCTTTTTTGTATCTTAACTCCCTGTTTGTAGTTTCAATAAGAATTCTAAATTCTGATCTGTTAAGAATCTATGTAATTGTAAATATCCAACAAAAGTCAATTTGAAAGTGTAACTTTGTCCCTTAACTATTTAGACAAATCAAAGCTGCCATTCTTGAGGAGTTGGTGTATGTTAGTGTCTATTTCTGACCACTTTTTTAAAACAGCATCTATATGAGGTATAAAAACCTTCATAAATCAAATGTTACGCATGTCCCCTTTTTAAAACCACTTCTGTTTACCCAGAGTCCTCTCTCCATCAGGGTCCACTTGTTGCGCCATCTTCAAAGCCTCTGTGGTTGCTATGTCCACGTTGCATGGAACAACCACCAAGCTGATGGTCTCTTGTTTTCGGATGTACGTCTGGATCAGTCTCTTAATCTGAAAATATTAATAATAATTAATAATATAATTGGAATTTTAACAAATACAACATTATAAACTGTACAAGTGTGGTTACAGACTGCACAACTATCACTTCTGTGTTTTTACCTGTACTAATTATAGTTAATTGTATTTTATATGTCACATTTCTACTTGACAGAAACAAAGATATTTTCAAAAACGAATAAAAATGAAAGAAAAATAAACAAAGATCATAGAACTGAAAGACAGAGACCACAAAACAAAGATCATAAAACAGAACAGAAACAAAAATATTCAACATTCAGGCATTTAGATACCAGAACGGTAAAAGAAGAGATTTAAAAGACATAAAAACGTTGCCAGTTTGATCTGAATACACTGTTCCTCAGTTTGAGTGCCTGGTCAACCTTGTTTACATCCCAAATCTGAGGCATACCCAGCAGAACCCCATTTATCAATTGGAGAGTGCACCCTGAGACTTAAGGGTTCAACAGTCCTGAATGGAATTTAAAGCAAGGCCATTTAATGCTTTAAATGTGACTAACACAAATGTACAATCAATGTAGAACTTCAAAGGTAGCCATTGTAAACTGGCAAGTCCTGGAGTAATAAGCATTTCAGTACGAGGCGGGAAGACATAAGTGCATACATAGTCTTCTGCAAATGCATGCTAGACAGGAATTATCTCATTTGTTTCAGTCGAATGAATAGTTTTGGGACGGGCAACATTTTACACAAATGGATTGTCAAGGTTACTGTAGTTGTCAGCTTGAAAAAAGACGTATAACTGTGTGTCATCTGCATAACAGCGGTGGGAGACACTGAATGTTCTATTCAAAAATGAACAAATGCATTACAACACTAAACATCTTGAGCCACACTGATGGCTAAAAGATGTTTTATTTTATGCACAAAATATATTTTTTGGCTCGATGATCAATGCCCTCTGATATTAGACCCAGTTGTGCTACCTTAGTGGATCCTTTGTGAAACTACACGATTGCAAGTTGTACTACTAGAGGATTTAGCCATAAAGGGCCACCCTGCACTAATTCTGAAGAAGAATAATGATACGTCATTATCTTGTTGCAGTTATTGCAGGGTGCTGTGTTCTGTAGCATTTCCAAAACTAGTAACAACAGACAAAAAGTGTAAATAATCAATTAAACGGCTATTTTTACCTGCACTGATAGAAGCTACAATTATTGCATCCGATGAGTGGAGTTAATGCAAATTTTTAAAATCTATTTTACACTAGACCAAATTACTGGGTGCTGAACTCACATACCTGATCACCAATGTCCTCTGGTTGTCCCTTTACGGCCACCCTGGCGATGCCAGGCAGGTCGATGAGCGTCAGGTCAGGAACATCCGGGGAGGCGATCTCCAGACTGATGAGTTCCTCGCTGATCCCTACCCCAACCCCGGCCATTTTATCTTGAGCTGAATAGAGAAGACATGATATATGATCTGACGTATATCTGAACAGCAAATTAAGCTACCCACTACCTCTGTCAAAACTAAGCTTACCTTCTCGAATCTTTTCCTCCACAATCGCTGGATTTTTTATCTCTTCCACACAGTTCCTGTAGCTTATCTTTCCAAACCACTTCTCTCCTTCCTCCTTTCGCTTCATCCTCAGTTCCAGAGGACATCTTGTCACAATGCCTGGATTTCAGAAGAGCAAATGGTGAGGAAAAAACTCAAGCATAATCCGGTGTACTTGATGAAATTATCAAAAGTAGCAAGATATCTCAAATCAAAAGTTTGATCTTAAAGACACAGAAGTGACTGAATGAAGTCCAATGTACTGTCTCACTTTCATCTAGTCTATTTGTTTAGAACATTGCCGTCTATAGGATTTTTTATCAGGCAAACCACTTTTTATATCAATGTCTTACCTGCATGTTAATAAAAAAAATGTATTTACGACCAAGCCTTCCCACTGTTGCTTGTAACCATCTTTGTTTTTGATTGTCGTCGACTCAATGCTCCACAACTTTGATATATTCTAATTAACTTCTAGCCCGTTTCAATTGTGCATTTTAAGTCATGGAAATCCTTAATCTTTTGCTTCCATTGTTGACACTATGCTCTGGACGTCCTGTCATAAATTCACACTGTATTCAATCGCTAATTTAAGCTGCATTAAACTGTTTTTTTTCCCAGATTTTATCTGGATTAAACAGTCATAATGTCTTAATACACAGAACTTTACATCCATTGTCAAAGCACAGGTATGTGTAAGAGAAATGTTAACAGTTCTTGTTACTAGTGCCGCAACTAAAGGGTATTTTCATTGTGGACTGATAAGATAAATATGACCTCAATTAGTTGTTTAGTGTCTAAAATGTCAGAAAGTAGTGGAAAATTTCCATCAGCATTCCCAAAGCCCAAGATAATGTCCTCAAATCTATGTTTTGTCAAAGGCCCAAATATATTCAGAAGAAACCAGAAAATATTCATTCTTTGGTTGAAATCTGAGAATTTAGACTTTTTTCCTTACAAAAATAACTGCAGATTGATTTAATAGTTGACAACAAATCGATTAATCACTACAGCTCTACCTGTAACCAAAAAAGTGTGACCAAATAGCAGTTTATAACTCAATAACACATGTCATTAAGTGATTAAAGGCAATATTTAATTTGCATTTATATATATATATACATCTTATATTTAATATTTCATTTATAATCTTGAAAATATGAAATCAAGTTATTTTGATGCAATACTAACTATTCATGTCATAATAGTGCTGCAAACACTTTCTGGCAGGTTCAATTGGTCCTTTAAACCTTGTTAAACCGGTCTAAAGAAACGGATTGGTAATAACTGAGGACACATTGCAGGTCAAATAAAACAGAGACATAAAAATAGCGGCATTAAAGATGAATTCTTTATGACTTATCCATAAAAAAGCAACTCGAGCCTAAATCAAGCTGGGTGACACAAAGCGCATGCGCCAGCCTTCAGCTTTTGGTATTTTTTTTTTTATTTTTTATTTTTTGCACAACACCTGCATGAAAACGACTCTTCAGGTATTTGCTGAGGTATTTTAAGCGACAGAGAAAAGCAACGAAAGATTTTTTTAAAAATAATTTACCGCTTCCTCTCGGCAGAGCCACCCCTGACAGCGCCTCCAGCACGGAGCTCTTCCCCGAGCTTTGGTCTCCAATCACGGCGATGGCAGGCAGCGCCAAGTCCTTCTCTACACCCAGAGAGCGGAGAGAGTCGATGAGGTCGATGCAGGGACGCACCTTCTCCTCGTACTGCTGGTTCAGAGTGTTCATGGTGTCTCCTGTGATGGGACAAAACCTTTTTTTTTTAATTTAAAAAAGTCAATGAGTGTCGTCTGTGACCAGCAGCAGTCTGCAGCCCGCACTGACTGAACTTGATGAAACGGATGCGAGTCGATCCCCGTAAAAGAAATGGAAACTTCAGCTGTAAGTTTCGTTTTCACGTCTTTCCTCATGCTCTGCTAGGGAGAAACGAAACTCAGCTGCCAATCGATACCTATTAATGTAACATGACTTTGTTGTTGTTGTTGTTGTTGTTGTTGTTTTGTTTGTTTGTTTGTTTTTTTTTGGGGGGGGGGCTGCAGTCATGATGTTGTTGAGTCTGAAGAAGACAGACAATAATACTTGAAGCTTCTGGCATAAAAGGAACAGTTTTTGCCCACCACAACAAAATGAAAATAAATATCAGAACGTGTTTTTCTATAAATAACTGACTAAATTCAAGCTCCAGTGTTTGACATGTCCTACAAATTACTGATTGAGAGAATGGTAAGGTAATCAAGTGAATTTGTAAAATAAGATAAATTAAGATAAACTTTAATGATCCCTCACCCTTGATACTCACAGTGCTGAACAAAAGTTTCCATACACTTGTAATAACCTTATGTATCCTGGCAGACTCGTGTCTCCAGTGAGTCCTGTAACTCTAAACTTTCTATTATGAAATCACTAAAAACCCATGCGTCTTTGTCACAAAATAATCATGCATATTGGTTCTTGTATAGAATATATAATTCAGGTTGCTGTGTGTATGTTTTTGACCTAACAGATCTATACCCGAGGATAGAGCCTCGAGAAACTAATAAAACACTTTAGCATTCTGCCACAAAATTCCATTTAGTTGTTGCACCATTTTCGCCAATGAAATAAGTTGTCCCAGGGTACAGATCTATTACAGTCACAAGATGGCCTGATTATTACCTTAATTTTGTTTCTATTTTGCTGTTGTACAGTTTACTACTGCTGCTATTACTACTACCACCTATAACAATGATTTCCACATGTTTAGATATTTGTTCGTATACCTTCTATTTGTCAGCATACTCTTCATCCCTGTGGTACTGAACACTTTCATTTCATAATCAGTTCTGTCTCAGAGGAAATATAATATTTCTGCTGTCAATTTGCTCTATTCCACAACTTAAGGGACTCGCCCTGTGGGTGTTTTCCTTTTCTGGCGAGAGGATCAGACAAAGTTATTACACCTTTAGGGAAAGGGAATGCAACAACAAAGCTACCTAAGTACATGCATGAGTAAAAGTGGGATGAGGTTGTGTACATAAAGCTTGTCTTTGCTTGAAAATCCTGCACACACTGTTTCTTATAACCAACAGAGAGAAAACGCTTTGGAAGTCAGAGGTCAAACCACACACATCACATAAAGAGATCTGAGCAGATACACAATGATGAGTCCCTTATGGACAAATTTGTACATCTTTATTTGCATGAATCCCTGTAAAATATCCTCCACGCTCGGTACACGGACCTGTACACATTTGCCATGGATGTTCGACCATTTTACAAACATGGATGTTCAATTTACTTCATTACACCGATGCAAGCCACATGCTTAGAAGGTCAAAAAAACAGGGTTGCACAAGTCATGTCATTGTAAACAAACAGCAACCGAGCATTATCTTTTGATCACGACAATGTAATACATGAACTGCAGAGATTTTTGTTGTACAAAACTGAATTCTGATTTTTAAAACTAAAGCTCAGTATTGGTTATGTACAGATGAGCCCACTATTCACTATTCGTCCGTTATCACTGTGGTACTGATGTGCTTTTTTGCTGGGCTTTAAATGTGTGTATGGATACCGTGGACATGCTCTAAAGAAGTGTAACTTATGCTTAGAATTTCCCAGTAGTCTGAGGATAACATAGAAAACAGTCACAGCAACTTGTAGCAGGAGTGGCCACTTGTAAACAGTAAGAGAGACAATCTCCCTCTTCGCATCATTCAGATAAAATGACAGTGAAAACCATGGAAACAGGATCTGCATGCTGCGGTGCTTGCATATACATTTTCCTTTTGTTTTTTTGTTTTTTTTGCACAAACCTTGTATAGTGTATTTTGCAGAATGCAGCTATTGCTTTAGGTTTAGAGACTTTCTGACGTTATCAGAAACCAGTGACAGAAATGAGTTGGAATGTGTTTGTCACAAATATAACAATATCATTAAATTATGTTCAGAATCTACATCTGAATTAGAAATACCCATTATCAAAATAGATTTCCTGTTAGATTAAAAAAATGATGTAATAATCTGAAAAACTTTCAGTAATGAGTCAGGGCAGTATGAATTGTGTAAACTTTCAGAGATAAATTGCATGTTTTTCTCCCCCTGTTCCCCCCACAGACAGCATAGGAGCACACATACGACATCATGCACTTAAAAACTTCAAGAATTATACAAACATAGAGCACTTCTTTCCCCTTTCCACGACAGAGTGCGAACCAGTTTGAAAAAGGTCAAAACAGAGTTTGCTAATTACCAAGTACAGAGAGACAAACTGCCACTAATGTGTTTCAAACTACGAGAAATACAACATTCAGCAAACAACACCTCTGAAGGAGAAGGACTAAAATACTATATCTAATCATTTTGTACAATACCCAACAATACTTGTATCTACAACGGGTGAAGTTTTGACACCTTTTTTGACGACCACCTCTTCTGTCACCCCCTTGCTTGCCCTGGTTGAAGATGCACAAGTGCCACTCATGAAATGAAAAGGCACGGCTACATTTGGTTGGAGTAGGAGGTGGGCCCTCCCACCTGGCTGTACTCAGACGGCTGGCCCAGGTTTCCCTGGGTGTTGTAGCTCCCTGACTGGTCGAAGCTTCCCTGGTTGTAGGGCTGCTGGTTAAAGGTTCCAGCCTGTTTCTCAGAGGCCCCGCCTGCGAACCTTGAAGCACCCTTGTGCCAGCTGGTCTCCTTAAAGACAAACCAGATGTTTCCAGCCCATAGAACAAAGTTGAGAAACCCAAAAGCCTAAAGAGAAAGGGAATGAAACCAACAAAAACTTTTAATGAATCGTGACTTGTTAGAGCTATTCATTGTCCTGTTTCACTCTTCAACTCTTTCAACATACTGTTACTGAAACATCAGTGTTCAGCTTCTTTAGAAATGTGGGTCTTTTCTAAAATCTTTCTGTCACTCGTGTGTTTTTTAAAATCTGAAATGTTCTCTTTGTGTGACATTTCAACTCTTTAAGGGCAGTTAATTTTACATTTTATATTGTTTCAGCACATCAACTTTGCACAACAACAAAATATATATTTTTAAAATCTTGTCTAATTGTCACAACTTCTCATGTTCATGCCCAATTTACTCCAACTGTTAAGTACTTTCCATTCCACTGACATGATCTTTTAGTTTATACATTTAAACTCGTATTCATTTCTTCCAGGACTTCCACATCAGTCAAAACTTGTGGCTCAGTTTTTTACTTCCACTGACATTTCAACTTTCTCTCTGGACTTCCACAGTCACACTTGAAACATTGAGAGTTGAACTTCCTCTAGTGTTTCAGTGTGTTTACTAACCTGAAGCTACTTTCATTCCTTTCATTTAAGCTGATATTTTTGCTTAACTTGTTTCAGCATTTTAACATTTTTGCATTAAGAGGAAATAAATTGATTTCAGAATGGTAAGTCTTTTCCAGTTTATCTGTTCATTCACTCCCACCATCTGGGACACACGTCCTGTAAACCTACCACTGAGGTGTTGAGGCCGGACCAACGTGGTCCGTGCAAGGAGCCGCATTTATTGGTCTGGACTTTGCAGGCGGAGATGAGGAGCTGCACCTCATCTGGATCAGTGGCCGTTTTCACATCAGACAAGGCTTTGGCCCAAGCCGAGGAACTGACCAGCCACATGAACGAGAACACTACCGTCACTACAAAGTCCTGAATGAGAGAGGAGACAACAAGTACGATAAAAAACAGCTAAAAAAAACACACTACTTTGTTATTAATTATGATGTACTGTTAACTATAGGAAGAACTGAAAGAAATAACCCATCACTGTACTCACGATGAGTGGAGCTCGACTGTTTTCATGGTACTTATTCTGAAAGAATATGTACACAATGGTGGCCATGAGGGAATACAGGAAGGCAAAGACCGCGATGGTGACGAAGAACTCTGCAGAGGATGAATAATCTCCGATGAGGAACACGCGCTCCCTCCTCATGGCCTCGCACACCGGGGCTTCAAAGGACACCTGGTGCAACCTGCCACACAAATCAAGTCCGAAGAAAAATCCACAATCACATGTGCCCTTGTGTAAAGCAAACACAAACTCTGAGCAGAGCTGTCAATAGACTGTCACATACAGCGGGCGCAGATGAAGCGCACTCACCTGAAAGGATAAGCAAAGTCAATGGCGATGCTGAGGTTGCTGCTGGCCTTCTCCATGCAGTCCACACTGACCCGCAGCTGCCCAGAGTAGCCACCGCATGTCGCAAATGCAAAAATGGCAAAGAGCTGCAGAGCCACATCGACAAAAAAAACAAAAAAACAACAAAAATCAGATGCCTGTTCTGAAAGTGATCCCAGGAACTTATATGAACTGAGGCCACAACATCACTTTATCTGCATAATCGCACATTCACATACAGCCACCTGCGAGGAGATCCTGTAACAATGTCCTCGGCAGTTCAGATGACTCTGTTCATCTATATCTGTTTCAACATTCTGCTACTTAGCGGGCCAATGTGAGAGCAGAACCATCAGGTCTAATGAAATACATTATCAGAGGCCTGAGAACAGAGACGGCTCTGGGCTTGGGGGATTTGCTGGCTCGCCAGCAAAGCAGATATTGAGCTGTTTTTTTGTTTTTTTAAATATGATTACTATCTGGACCATGATTGAAGGGGCAGTACTTTACTGTACACTGTTGCACGCTCATTTTCTAAACGCTGTTTCCTGATCGTTGCATGGGGTCAGATAGAGTTCTGTGAAAGCCTGGCATGAAGACCTGCAGTGCACAGCTCTTTTAGAAACAACATTTTTAAGTTAAAGATATCAACTCTTTTTTGATATTCTATCAAACCCGTAGTGAAGCTTAGTTTTTTTAATTGTGTATGCAAAGTATGTTGTAATGTCAATTAA